TTGTTAACTTTTGCAGTTCAGGAAAGTAGACTGCCTCGCGTACGCGTTGGATAGTTTTTCGAATACCAGCATGAGAAGCTAAAGGGCTGTCATGGAGCTCCTGCAGGATATTTAATCTAAGACTAGCTGGGATAACAGGTCGAAATTCGTTGTTGGAATTCGTAGTTTTTTGTATAAAATAATAGACCATCTATTAGTTCGTAATGGGCCGCCCTATTTCTTATCGCCACAATATCTTGGTGGCTAAAATTTTCAGGATCCTTCAAATACTCATAAATACTTCCAAACTCAGGATCCTTACCCAGTTCGGTTATTACAGTTTCTCGGGAATTTATTGTACATGCTGTGAGCATTGCCAACTTTTACGGTATTACCTTCTTCATCTATTTTAATTCGTGATAGGGCATCTGCTACGATATTTTCCTTTCCGGGGGTATGCTTGATTACCAGATTATATTCTTCTTGCAGCTTGAGTGCCCATCTTATTAACCTTGGGGATAAATTTTTTCCCTGAGTACAATCTAGTTACCGCCGCATGATCAGAATACACTGTTATTCGGCGCCTTTCCAAAATAGACTCGGAACTTTTGCACTGCTAACAGAACTGCAAGTGCCTCTCTCTCTCGGTCGCGGAATAGTTTCTTTGTGTTTGATTTAAAGTTCGGCTAAAAAATGCCACGGGCTGCTGATTTTGCGAAAGTACCGCTCCTACCGCATAATCCGAAGCATCCGCTGAAATTTCTAAATTCTCATCCTTTTCAGGAAATTTCAACACAGGGGCTTGCGTTAATGCTTGTTTTAATTTTTCGAAAGCACTATTGGCTTCGGCCGTCCACGAGAATCTTGCCTTTTTCCTTTTTAATTTTAACAATGGCTCAGCGATAGCCGCAAAATCTTTTATAAAGGACCTATAATATGAACAAAGTCCTAGAAAAGAAGAGAGCTTCTTTGCCGTGTTTGGAGTCGGATACTTTTGTACAGCGATTATTTTTGATTCATCTGTCTCGATTCCCTTTTTGAGATATTTTGTAACCTAAATATTTTAATTCAGGGGCTGCAAATTTGCACTTTTCGACATTAACTTTTAGACCGGCCTCATTTAATAAAGAAAACACCTGTCTTAAATCCTGTACATGTTGGTCGAGATTATCACTAGTAATAATGATATCGTCTAAATAGATAAATGTGGACTTTCCAAGAACAGGTCTTAACACAATGTCCATACATCGCTGAAATGTTGCCGGTGCCCCTGAAAGGCCAAACGGCATACGCAAAAATGCATAAGTGCCAGACTTGGTTATAAAAGCAGTCTTAGGCACGTCCTCAGGCCTAACCCCTATTTGAAAATAACCAGTCGTTAAGTCTAAAGTCGTCATATATTTGGTTGATGTTATGTTCCTTAGAATTTCTTCAATAATAGGTAACGGATATACCGGATATTTAGTTATGGAGTTTAATTTACGGTAAGTCAATCGCGAATCTCCACCTTTTTGGATGTGTCCAAAGGATAGTCATTATTTTTCTTACATAAAACCACCGGGCTAGCATAACTACTTGAGATGGGCGTTATGATCTTTTTACGTAGCATATCGGTAATATGCCATTCTATAATTTTTTCCTTATTCTTATCATACCGGTATGGTTTTTGGACGAACTGGCAATTGCATCTCCGGTGTCAATACTATGGTTAGTAACCTGAGTAAATCCTGGAATATCACTAAATAACGAAGCAAATTCACTTACCACTTGTCGGATTCTATCTTGCTCGTCATTAGGCAGGTGGTCAAGATTTAACCTTGGCGGTTCAACCTTTTCTACACGAACTGGTTTCATTGTCAGCTTAAGGGACGCTTCATTAAAATCCAGCGTTAGCTTGTGCGTCTGAAAGAAAATCTATTCCTAAGATTAAATGTGCTTGCAGATTCTTTACTATAAAAAACATCACCTTTACTTGTTCGTCCTTGATACGGATATATAAGGTACTTTACCTACGCACTTACATTCTTTCTCCTTGCGCCGCTAACACTGTCGTATTATCCGCATTATATATGCGGTATTTGCGAAAATACTTTCTAAAAAAATCTTCTGCCACACAGGAACACTGCGCGCCGGTATCCAGGAGTGCGGTGGCTGGGATATTATTCACCAAGACTTCAATCTTCGGAAGAGTCAAATTTTTCACCATTACTGTATTTAACTTGTAGGAAGAGGGGTTTTCGTGGCCTTCGGATTTCCGCACCCTCTCGTCAGCAGAAATCCGTTTTAGTTTAAATTATTTTTCCTTTCCGTGCTTTCCTTCTTTTTCCACTGGCCTTGAGACTTTTTTCCTGGGTTGCTATTGAACTGTCGACGTTCGCCGGCTGTTTTTGAATGCTCGGGTTTCCTTGCCCACTGATTCGCTTTTTCTCCGTAGCCATGTGCTTGAGTTTGCTGTAGTCTTGGCGTACCAAATTGGTTTCGCTGTTGATATTGGCGTCTTCTTTCGACGTCCGCCGTTCTTCTACTTTCAAACTGGATTGCTAGCTCAAATAACTTTTCCAGTGTAGTCGGATTTCTTAATTCAATAAAGTCTTGCACTTGGGGCAGTAACCTCGGCAAAATCACTTGAATTATTTCAGGATCCGGACGGTTTCCATACAAGAGTTTGAAGACGTGAATTTTTCTTAAAATAAAGCTCGAGAGGTTTTCGATTCTTTGTTGATATATACTGAAAAGTTCCGTTTCTAATTTCGCACGATCCCTTACAACAGGGAAGGCTTTTAGTAGGGCAGTCTTGAAATTTTCGTAAGTATAGGTGGGACTTCCTGCTTGACCCAAGAGACTTCTGCCTATACATTTGAACCAGTTAAGCGCTTGGCCCCTCAAAGCGCTGGTAGCTAAGGTAACTTTTTGAAACTCGTGCACGGGGTAGAGCATGAAGTGGTCATCCAATTTTTCCAAAAAACTGGTTACCGGTGAGTTTCCATTAAATGTTGCTTCTGGTTTCATCGAAGCGCGCATGGTCTGGACGATGTAACCCAAATCCTTCCAGGGCGGCAGCTGGCATTTCTGGATTCTGAGCCGTTTCTGCAGGCAGCACAGGTTCTTCTTGAAACTCGGCCATGGTTATTCTTCTTCGTTGGGCGCCACTATCAGGTTCAATGTTTCTTCTTCTAACCTTCTTCGGGAACATACAAGGACCTGACTCGGAACAGAGAGCTTACTAAAGCTATGTTCAACTAATTGTGGGTAAGTAGACAGGATACAGACGAAGGGTATACAAAACCCTTTATTTTTTCTATATACAATAACTTCCGTACTTCGGAATACAATGACCCTCCACTCGGGGTCTAAACGTAAAAGATATAAAAATAAAACTAAACTCTAATTTAACTTTAGAATAATAACACGTGGAAGATTGGCCTTATAATAACAGGAAGCCGTATGTAGCACAGAACTGTGAACACTACAATACGTTTAAATTTATCAAGAGGATTAAAACCTCTGGCCTGGAAGGCAAATAGCAACAACTGCGTAAAACTTCTAAGGTAAGCGGCCTGCTTCGAACTCACTGCTTCCTCTCTCTCTTGCTTGGCAAAAAGCCACAACTTAAATACTTGGCGTTCGCCAGACAAACTTTGCATAAATAATCCTTAACGCTTATAATTCTGGCCGGAAGTAGAAAATAAGAAGTGATAGTAAAGATTTAAAATAAAATAAACGTTAGTAAAACTTAAGATCCTTACAACGGGACCTACAGGGTGTCCTTCGCTTTGATATTTCTTTAATTATTGTTAATTACAATTACCAATTTTTACACATGTATGAAAATAGATAGATAAAATGACAAGGGAAAAACGAAAATGTTTCAACACATTCTTTTTATAATATAAACGTTCATTTTCCTTGCTTTGAACGTGGCGCTGTCATTACTTATTTAAAATTTTCTCATTGTTCTATGTCTTAAAATTAGAAATTAAAGTTAATGACCTAAAACTGCAATAGTATATTACAATACAAGTGAAAAAACTGACGGTTTCACTCAGGCATGTGTCGGATTTACGCAATACTTATGGGGTCTTCATCAGGTAGGGAGATCATTTACTGCTACCACAAATGATTATTCATTTACACATGTGGTCTTGCATTATCTTGATGGAACATTACCTTTTTTGCGCTGGAACTCAGTTTGACATTTTTCCTTGATAGCAGCGTCAGCATGAACTAGCATCTTTCTGTACATCTTACTGTTGTACATCTTACTTACTCCTTTTGCCAGATACTCTTTGTGAATAATACCACTGCAGTCACACCAGATAAAACGCTGCCAACGGGCTCACCAGACGCAGACTAATTCCCATTTTTTTGTTGAAGTAAATTCACTTTACATCACAAGTGACGATCTGGTTCAGAATTTTGTCCTCGCGTTTATTTCGAGTAGATTAGCGCAGTCTTGAGCATGTCTGTCCTTATCTGCTTGTGTCAGCTCATATGGCACCCAATGCTTGAACTTGTATGTTAAGTTTATGCAATGAATAACATGACTAATGGACATGTCACTAACGTCTAACTCCTTATCATTAAAGATGTATAATTAGAATTACTTTTTACAAACTATTTTTCTTTATGGATTTTTTTTCTGAATCTGTTTGTGAAGGTGAATTTTAAAATTTGAAATAAATTTATGGTTTATTTTGTTGTGCACTAATAAACTGAATATTTTTATCTATATTCTGTATATATATCCTAAGTAATATATATATAAACAGAATATTTTTATTATAATTTTCAAATCTCTTTGAATAATAGATTGAAACAAAAAGCATCAATTTCTGTTATGAATCATTCGCAAAGAAAAAGAGACTCATAGAACTATTTTATAGTATTTTTATTATAAAAGATTTTAATCAAATAATTTTGTTTATGCTGAATGCTAATAATATGCATCTTTGAGTATGTATTTAAAATATTTTTAAAATGTATTTCAGGCTTATTTAAGATGATCTCATGTATATTTTTAGTTATGAAGCTGCTTTGAATTATTTTCAAGATTCTTTGGGGCGGATTCAAACAAGTAAACAGACTGTTTTACCTGAGAAATGGGAGGGGTTATTAAATAATTTAGGTCATGTTTGCAGAAAACTGAGGTAAGTCACTTAAACAAATAGTTATTTGTTAACTGTAAGTAATTATTTTTTTATTAACTGTAAAAATAGTTTTTAATCTAAATGGTTAACATAAGGTGCAAATGATTAATTTTTTTAGTAATTTAGATTAATGATTTTAAAATACTCCTAATAAAAGGAAAGGTAATTTTTCAAACTGCAGTGAATTCTTTATCTGTTTGAATTCTTGGTACTTGCTTCTTATCTACTGCCTGCTGATACACTGCAAACAATCAATCTATTTTGGTGATGAAATTTTATTTTTTTACTTTTTGAAGGATATTGTTTGGCAATCACATTCAAAAGACAGGAGATATATATTGTTTCATGCTTTTTGAGTTTTGAAAAGACATCAAAGATTGTTATTTTGTGTAACTTATGTTTATCTTAATATGAACTCTGATAACTAAGAAGACAAGTGATGATGAGCCATGTCACCTTACCACTTATTCCTCCATTTTTCTGTTCTTCACATGTGTCACAGTATTTGTGTGTAGATACCAGTTTAGGGATTTTTGTGTGTAGACACCAGTTTAGGGATTCTCTTCCCCCCCTTGAGAGGATAAAAAGCCACCGAACCCTCACTTAGCTCCTTCCGCAAAACAAAAAGAAACTTTAAGCAAGGGGGGGAAAAATCTCATCTTTGTAGAAGATTTTGATATAGCTTCTAAAGTTGTTGAGTGCTTACAAAAATCAAAGTTGTGGGTGGTATTTTTGGTGATGTATTGGTGGATACAGGATAACCAACAAATATCAAGGAACTACTCTTATGTACGCTCTTGCTTGGCGACAATTTTTTTGGCCAAATATTTTTGGCAAGAAACTCCACCTTGCCATATTACTATCTAAATTTTTTGTCTACATTTCGAACTTTAAGCCTAAAATGTCTCCCAAAAATGGGGTTTTCGCAGGTGCAAAAACCTCATTTTGAACCCACGATTTAAGCTAAAAATCTGAAACAAAAACAAAAAATTTAGATAGCAAAAATGTAAAGTTTCTAACCAAAAATATTTGTCAAGAATCCATGGGCACAGAGATCTGTTTTAAAATAAAAATCACAGAATTGCACAATCCATGCAGCAAAGGAATCTACAAACTATGCACACCACACTTAAATAAATTAACATAACAACAATACATTTCAAATAATTCCATGTACACGGCGTTCTGTTTAAACTTTAAAAAAATGTAGAAATTGCACAATCTAGGCATGGTGCACTAATCAACAAAATAAGCTAAAATAAATTACAAACAATTCAAAAACAACAACGACAAAAATTTGTACCCCCTCCCAAAAAAAACAGTTAACATAGCATTCTATGAGATAAGAGCAATAATAAAATAAAATGCACTTACCATGAATGAATGCTTCTTCAAACAGCATAAATATCAATTTCAAACATCACCAAAACAATTTCACCACAAATTTGTTGAAAGGATCTCCCATTTCAGAACAGCGATGAAAAAATATATAAACCACCAAATAAAACTCAAAATTGCATTTTCGATTATTTTCAGATAACGCAGCTTTAACATGCCGCCACGCAATCTCTATGGTATTTATATGACAGCCAGACTCACTATCCATAAAACTGATACTATCTTTCACAAATAAATGTCCAAAACCTTCTTCTAAATTCTAGTAGAATTTACAGCCACCTGAAAAAATAGTTATACCAGGCACGTGACTAAAATTTTGCCAACACATCTTTCATTGCATCATAAACCATTTCAAACCACCAACCACATAAACCAATCAGCAACTAAAACCACTACAGCAAAATCCAAGTTTCCACGTACAAAGAGTTGCCATAAAAACCAATATCGCCCCCAAAACCATTGCAGAACATGCAGTCGTGCCAAAAACCAGCACAGAACACATATCGCCACATTTGGCGACATGAGGGTGTATGTAAGAGTAGTACCAATATCAATTTCTTTGTCCACATTAATAATATTTTGATTTAGATTATATTTAATTGATGTATTTATTTTTAACTCTAAAATATGTTTTGGTGCTTCTAATAATATGCGTAAAATATATCTTTCTGCTATTTTGTATTATAATAAATTCATTGCAGTGTTATTATTTTAGCCCAACATTTTACAAATTACATCAGGAAATGTTACATTTTTGTTTTTAAATTCACCTGTTGTGATTGTCATTTTTGAATCTAAAGTATTTTGAACTTTAACATTGGATAATAAAATGTATTGTTCAACCCTATTGTCAACTTGAATAATACTGTTTATTAATAAGGGTAAATATATTTCTTTAAAAAAGAAGCTTTGAAGTGTATTGCTTGTATTAATAAGGTGCTAATGCATATTATAAAAATTCTGTTAAGCCATTGTTAAAAAATCTCAAAATATAACCAATTAGACAATTTTATGTCATTTCTAATTACTAGAAATCAAGCCAAAAAAGGGGGGAATGTAGAGAAAGTGCTAATATATGGTAATTGTGTTTTAGTCAGAAGCTGCAAATATTGTAATCTAACATGTCAGTTAGAAGATGAAAAAAAATACTGATTCAGATATCCAAAAGCCATGATTTATACTTAACAATCTCACTGCATACTTTTTTTTTATCAAAATAGGTTCAAAAATTGCGTATTTTTTTTATTACATATTTCAAATCTACATATATTTTAGAGTTAAAATACACAAAAAATTTGGTACTTTTCCGTTTCGCCGGCGCAAATCTTGCCAAGCAGACTTTATTGGCGACAAAACACAGTATACACATAAAATATGTTAAGAAATGTTAGTTCTAAGAATTTTTTATTTTGAAGACATTTTAATATCGTTTAAAATTTTGTAAAAAGCCAATAAATAAAGACAATTTATTAAAAGACATTAATTTAAGAATTTACTATGCTTTCATGGTACAGCATCCTGATTCGCCGGTTCATATAACGTGACTCCAAGGGATCTCCTCTCACGTAAACTACGCTACAAAAATCTAATTATCTCAGTAATTATCTACATTAATTTCAAGTTAAATATTAATTTGGAATACAAGTTTAAATGCAAGAATTTTTTTATTCGTAAGAAAAGCTTACTCAGAAATTATGTAAAACCGCAGTTCTTTACTTCGGTAGTGCATTCTCATTAGAATTGATTGATTTAACCCTTGAATTTGCCTTTTCTATATTTTCGCCTTTGAGTGAGCAGTGTAATTGCGTCCTAATTGACTTAATTACCGCGAATACCCTTAGGGCGTAAAATTGAACTACCTTTCATAAAAATTTGATGTAATTGTAAGCCAGTATTGAAAGAAACAATCAATCTGATAAGAAATGGCTGCAACTTGTTTTGAAAATAAGGCGTAAAAGGTTACCAGCGAGGATATTTCGTTTGGCATTGGTTGTATCATTGTCGGAGACTTTATCGCCTGCGCCGGCAAAATGGAAAAGTACCAAAAATTTTTGTAAATGAGTTTTTTTTTTTTTTTTTTTTTTTTTTTTTTTTCCAATATAGAATTACATCATAGAAAATGGTTGTCAGAATACTGAAATTAAGGAATAATGATATAAAAGGAAAATTTTGAAAATTAATATTGGTTAAATTATGATTTATTTTATAAAATACAAAGGTAAAACATATATACTAATGAAAATATTTCCATAATGTAGTATTCTGCATATCAATCTTGCACCACTGTCGAACGTTTTCAACAGAAACTGAATTTTCAGATTCATCACTATCTGCAGAGGACTCCGATAAATTCTCATCAGTTTTTATAACTATCTTCAATATACTTGAAATCAGAGTCAGAACTACTATCAGTGTCTGAAATATCATCAGGAATATAGGTTATATCTCTCGCGAAACGCTTCCTGCCAGACATCTTTGAGCTCTGAAAAGCGCGTGCAAAATGCTACTTTATATATTCTTGTATATTTGGCAGAAATGTGGACAACTAACTCCATCTGTTAGCCCACATCTAAATAAACAATTAAACATCACAGAAAGGCCGAAAGGAAATCTTGAATGGGGAAAGAGTGGGTTGCACAGTTAAATAGTTAACTTTTACGTTGCCCGTGGAAATCGTGGGATGCGCAGCGAGAGGGTTAAAAGTTAGTTTTTGACTTGCTTTTGTAGACATTTGCAGCTTGATTATAATTTATTTTGATATTTGTTTTTTTGTTGTTGGTTAAGTTTTTCTGTGTACATATGTATTATCTGTTGAAGCAGTTTCTCACCCTTCCACCTTCCAGTACTTAAACTGAAGTAACATGCTAACATGACATGCATGCATTCTTAATTGTCAGATATGATTTATAAGTTTGGAAATGTTGATATTGACTAAATCAAGAATTGCCAACTTAATATGTGTATTGAACTCAAATAAAATTATTGAAATTGATCATTATAAATTAAGAATATTTCCATAAACACTATATCTTTCAACAACTAGTATTTTTTTAGCATGTTCTATTTATGAACAAAAGTATTAATACAAAATATGAAAGTTGTTTTTAGATACCATTGTTAAAAATATATGGAATAAAAATATAAATCACAAAATAAATGAGCAATTTTCCTCTTTACTTTTAAAATTGCTAGGAAGTATGAAGAAGCCTTAAGTTATCATGAACACGCATTAATGCTTATACCTCAGAACCCATCAACATTTGCAGCCATTGGATTTGTTCATAGTTTGACAGGAAAATGGGCTGAAGCTGTTGAATATTTTCATAAGGTATGTGTGTTTCTAATAGTTTCAGAATTATTTAGAAATGTTTATGTATGAATATAAAACATTGCAATAGGGCTGCAGTATCCACTAATAATGCATTCTAAAACCTACTGTGGATTTTACAAAACACTACATATAATGCAATATTCACAAAATATGTATAAATTTTGTAAAGTTTGATTAGTAATTTATGTAATTAAAATGTTGCCATATTAAATAAAGTAATACTATGAAGTGTATTTTATTTATTTCTTGTCCAAAGAAAAATGAGGAATTCAGCCATTTTGCCTATTGCAAAAAGCCAATAGATCAGAATTACTGTATCTGTACTGTATATTATTATGTGCAATTTCAGTAGCTAATGCAATAAAAAAAAATCACATGCTTTCTATCAAAGCTTTGCATAAGCAGTGAAACATTATTCTGATTTTTGAATTGTCTGAATTAATGTTTGTATTCATGATGGATATTACTATCGAAAAAAAAATAATGTGCATGTTTAGTATGCTTATTTCACCATGTTTTGGCTAAATCTGATATGTTGCATATTTTGTTTTTGTGACTTTTGATTTATAAAAACTTATAAAGTTGTGGTAAACCTTAATTTTGTATATATAATAGTCTTCTTTGATGATGATTATTTCCTTTGTTTTCAAATATCAGAACAGTTTTCATAAAATAAAAAATTGAAACATCAGGAACTTACCAACTTTTTCAGTGATTAGTTAAAAACAGCTGTAAAATATCTGCAGACATCTCTGTTTGTTTATTTTTATTTTTATTTATTTATTTATTTATTTATTTTGGAAAGATTTTTAAAAGCAAATTTATGTTTACTTTCTTTATTTAACATACATTTATGTTTTTTTCCCCCTTCAGTCAAAAAAATAGGACAACAATACATCGAGAAAACATTAAAAAAAAGTTAAATTGATTATAAATGATGATAAAAACTAATTGTCTAATTTAGATGATTTTTTTTCCTTTTAAGAAAATAATTACATTATGACAATATAGCTATTCATTCATTTCTTGTGAAACTGTTAATTTATTCAAGGAAACCTGATCTTGATTAGAATAATTTCAGATGTCATGATAATAGAACAATGGTTATAAAGCTTTATTGGCCCATTCCTTCTTTTGTCACCACTTGACAAAATATCCCTTTTCCCATGTTACATAAATGCCATGTTTCATTTTAGCCTGAGATAAACTTTTTCATACATAAGTACTTCCAAAAATAGAAGTCCTCATAGAATTGCAGATTTTTCTTAATTATAATTTTCTTTTTCTGAAAATGTTAGAATAGTTATATTATCACTGTTAATGTTAGAATAGTTATATTATTAATGTATGTTAATAAATTTATGTTGAATATAAAAAAATTCTAAAGTAATATATCTGAACATTTTATTTTATTTGCTTAGAGACATTTTTTCTCCCCCTCCCATTTATGGTACTGAAATTAAGGCATATCTTTTAAAACTATGCTTTTAAACTAATATGAAAGAAATACACTGTAATTTAATTAGTGCAATTAAAATAATAAGTAAAACTGAAATTTGAAACTTCTCATTTTAATATGCTGTAAAGGTACATGTAAATTTAAAGTTTATTATATTTAATAAATATGTGCTATTTACATATAGTTGCTAGCTTTTATGTTTGAAAAACTGGAAACTATTAAATTAACTTCTTTATGCTGTGTTGAGTCATATATTCTTAAAAACATAGCTAGTCTTTACTGTGAGCTTTTCACTTTTACTTTTAAATAAAAACATTTTGTAGAATTTTGAATCTACCAATCAAGGTTGAATCCAATTTCCTTTTGAAGAATTCCTCCTTTTTGTTTCTTTATAAATGAAATTGTTTTATTATAATTTGAGACTGATTACCCTACATAGGAAAAAATTTAATATGTCTTTTTCTTATGAAAAATAATAAGTGAATAAAAATAGTAAGATAAAACAACTGCAGTCTCATTTTTAGATTTATTTGTTTGTCTGTCCAATTGAATATAGTAAATTATATGAAGACTGTCTGCCTAAAAGGGACGATAATTTACATATACTTTACTGATGGGAAAAAATATGAAAACACCCATGCAACTAGTTTCGCTCACTTAGATTTTGACCTAGGTAGATCTACCAGTGTTGGGAGGCTTCACTGATTCTACTGATTAGCTGCTTTAGATCTATATTTGATAACATGGTAGTATTTGAGTTGGCTGCCATAGCTTGGAACCTAGATTCTAATCATAGAGAAAATATAGATATTTGTAAGTATATTGTGTCTTTGTGACATGGAGGTACTTAAAATATTGTCCAGCTAAAGATCATCTTGAGATGTTGATGGAAAGAAAAAAGATGGCCCTCAATTAGTCACTTTGGAGGATTTCCCTTGAGAAAAGAGATGAAGCTGGGTAAGTTTGTGCTGTCATTTATAAAGTGGCTTATTATAAGGCCCTTGCCTCTTTTTGATAATAATATTCATAGACTTGATAAGATATTAGTGTCAGTCAAGTGAGATAAGTCACAATACACACAAAATAGATTTGAGCCCAATATCTAAGAAGTATCATAAACTAGGTATCTTTGAATTACAAAATGTGCAGGTAGAAGAAAGTGAAATCAAATTTTATTCTATGATGTGTGTGATATTTACAGGCACACTGTGCAGTATCAATCCCCCCTTTTTTTTCCTTGCTTTATATATTTTGCTTAATTTACTTTTGCAGTATTAATTTCTTGTTCCAAAAATTATTGTGAATGTGTTCATTCTTTCATTTTATTGGATGTCTGTACACATATTAAGTGCATAAAATTTTTACATGGTCTTTTATTTAGGCCTTAGGACTTCAAAGAGATGATGTTTTTTCTAATACCATGCTAACAGCTGTGATAGAACAACTAGTCAAAGAAACTTCACCATGTGTAGGTATGTATTCTATGGGCTAAATTATAATAGTGTTTAAATTTATATATATATATATATATATATTTAATGTTGTGTATTATTTTCTTAGATACACTCATTTAATACCATGTTCGTTTTGCCTTCTCATTGTAAGAAATTCATTTCTAAGAATAGTCTGTGAAAATTTCTAGAACGATTTCATTTCAGTTATAAGTGAAATTTCTTAAGATAATAACATGCGACCAAAGCCAACTGCCTGGGGCACCGATTTTCACAGGGCACTGTCTAAGTAATTTTGTTGAGCAAAAAATGTATTTTACGTAATTGTTAATATCTTTATATGAGGCTATCGACTGTACTGATTGCCTAGAATGCCAAAAGGGCTAGAGCCAGGCAACTACAACATATGTAACTACAGCATATTGCAGAGTAGCCCTTAAATTACTAAATGTCTTTATGATCTGAGAATTGTGGCAATAATTCAAATAAATGAAATGCTCTTGGAACCATTTTAAAACCACTTTCTACCACTGATCGAGCTGCAAGCCTGTATTGCAGAAGTTAGATGTATTTTTCTTGATGTTAATAATTCGTATAACTTACCTCATTGACCATTATGATACAATATTAACTGACAGTTTTTAAGACCACACAATTTTTTCTCATGTCAGTAGTCCAGTGGTGATGATTGTGAGCCAACCCAGCTACTGCATTCTTTTTTATTTGCATATTTCTACGGGAAAAAAATTATACTTCCATATGTTCTAAACTAAATGTACTTGCTTCGGCAGTACATATACATATACTAAAATTGCAATGATACAGAGAAGATTAGCATTTCCCCTGTGCATGTTCTAAACTAAATGGCCTATATGTAGCAGTATCTGGCAAATAATATTAGCTCATTCAAAAAGTTCTGCAGTTTTTGATGATAAATACAGATGAAACAATTCAAAAAGTTAAACTTTCATTGAATCACATAGGCCTCATTTGATTTTATCGTTGTTTGCCATCTTTCAGGAAATGGGAGAATTCCTATTTACCTCCTATCAACCTATATAAATATGTGAGGGAAGTAATGTTTTCTGTCTAAAAATTCAATATTGAGTTTTCAGTGAATGAGCATTCATTAGGATCTCCACAACATGTTTTTACTATTTTCACAATGATGTCTGTCTGTGTGTATGTGTGTGATGACTTCTTCTTCCACAGTAACTTATACCTAACTTCTAAAATTTTCTATTTTCTATATTTAAGCTTTCTGCATTTATATTATAATGAGTTGATTAGATTTTGGATAAAAATGAACAGCTGGAAGCAGCACTTGAAGTCCATAACAATCTTTCAACAATCAGCATTACATATTAATGTTTATATGAACCAGTTACTGCAGTTGAATGAGTATTTTTTACTTATATGTAAATATCAAGGGGATATACATGCAGATTAAAATAAGTGTAGACTTGTTGATACTAAAGAAATAACACAGAACAAAATTAAATTATGATGTTTGTTACAAAATATTTATTTTAAATATATTATAAGCACTTAGTTTTCTTTTTATCAAAAAACTGTTAAATTATATATTATTCAACTTCCCAATAAAATATAATTTTTAACTAAAAAAATAATAGGTAGCATTCAATTGTTGATATAAATATAGAAAAACAAGTTTTTACATATGGCCACTTATGCCTAATAAAATATAATCCAAAATTTCCTATTGCCTTCCAAATTCCAAAATTCCTGTCTATGTAACAAACAAATTGACAAAAAATTGGAAAAACAAATTAGACTTTAAAATTAGCAAAGCAACTACCTTGTGTTTGGCTTAGGTTTAAATTAAAATTCTATCGGTTTTGAGAGCAAAAGAGACAGGAACAAAGAAATCTGCAATGAAGGGAAAGCCATGATTGTGTTTATGCCTAAAATAAGTAAAGTTAATGAGAATGTAGCACCATCTGTCAGATGAAATAGTACAAACTTGATGCCAAATACAAGGTGACTAAAATCTATGCCAAACAAAAGGTTTTTGCTTTGCTAATTTTATGTTTTACTTTGGTGTGTTTCTGTTCTGCCTTGAATTTGTTTACAAATGGAAAGGATATTTTACTCAAAATTAAAACATGCAGTTGGCTGAAAGTCATGTGCTGGCCACATCAGATTTTTTTAAATAAGTAATTAGATTTAATTGTAAAGAATTTATTGACCTGCTGTTTGAGAGTCTTCAAAGAAGTGAACTCCAGGCCATCCACAGAATTTTGAAGTGACCTCAAGAGGATGATGTCTAATGAATATGGGGGGAAGGTTGACACAAAACAGCTTAGCCATACTCAATAAGTTTTTGTCTGACATATATCAAAATGTGGGCTCAAGCATTGTCATGACAAAAGACAACACCATAAAGACTGTCGAGTTCTGGTTTCTTTGTTTCAGTTTCTACTTTTCAGGTGCCCATTTGAGAACAGTATTCTTCCAAATGTATTGTCTGATTTGGTGACAGTAATTTATAGTATCCTTTGTATTCCTACCATACACAACGCATTCCTTTTTGGGGATCCAACCCCCTAAAAGAGATTCTTTTGACTTACCTCATGAACTTTGACCTTTTGACCTCATGAGCTTTTTCCTGTAACATTATTGTATAGGATCCATTTCTCATTTCCAGTAAAGAGCCATCAAAAGGGAAAAAAAAAAAAAAAAAAAGAAAGAAAGAAAGAAAGAAAAAGGGAGCTTCTTTTATTTCTTTTCAAAGAATCATATGCCAAAACGCAAGCAAATATATTCTGGTTTTTCTATATATCATAGCAGCTTGCATATCTAATCTTCTCCAAATGATTGTGTAATGTATGTTTTGGAATATTCTTCTTCTGATAACTCTTGAACTGTATTGCTGGAATTTCAGTGATAATTCCTATTAATAGGTCCTTGTTTACAAAAGAGTGGTCCAGATTGGGAATCATCATCAAGGCTAAAATTTCCACACATCTCCAAAACCACCTTCAAATTGTGTCATCAGAAAAAGCACTTTTATATATAGCACAGATTTTACAAGAAATTTGACTAGCATTTTTTTTCCTTTAAAAAAAAAGAATCTAATGAAAATAACTTTGTGTTAGCACTGCACTGAAACAAAAATTCTTAGCATTGCACTGAAAAAAAAAAATTCTGCCACAATACATGCTAGAGTTTTGCAACGTGACCTGTAAATATCCACTTTAGTCAAAATCATTCCATATTAGCAGTAACAGAATAATTTGAAGAAAACGTGCTTTGATTTGAAAAACTGCAGAACTTTTCATGACATTCATTGCCAATGCATTAACCCTTAACCTGTTTGTGACGGGCACCTCTGTTACCAAAGCGTTCTCTTGGGACGGTGTGTTAACCAGATGCGTCGTCCTGTAAGGATGGGCAATTTACGCTGCTAAGCCTAACTTTGGAAAAAAATTCGCATAAATGAAATTTGTCTTCCAATTTTGAGTGCATTAGGAGAAGAACATTCAGGTAGTCGTCAGAATTAATTTTAAGCCTTTATTATTATATTTTCCTTAAAAATTTTATAAAATACTCATTCTAGAATAATATAACTTTCCCCTTATCCCACAAATAAATATATATGGAAAAATATCCAAACAATCGCAGATTTTATTTAACACAACACACAATTAAAATTTAAAAGTATTAAAACTGTCTTTCATAAAAATTCAACGAGCAAACAACGAAAAATAAGCTATGTTTCAAAATGAGAAAGTGTATGATATTCTTTGAAACATGGGTGTATGCAAAGTCCAACGTTGCATCACTCACAGGAATAAAATAGCTGCTGCTATTTTACTAAGCAAATTTGACTCATTTAGCATTTGTGCATGTTCTACGATCAGATAATGCTTTCGTTTTGCCATTTAAAAAAAAAAAAACCTTCTGTTAAGCGATACAAAATATTCGTCTCGATGCCGGAAAACTCAAAGAGTAATGAAAAAGCCTCTAATGATGGAACATCTACTCCACTATACCCGATAAAAAAATAAAATAAAAATAAGAAAAATTAATAAATTAAATTAAAAGTATTCCAGAGCATCGAGAATATGTTAATTTTTTTATATAAATGAGACAGTAAGAGCCATTACGTTACTCAACACTAATGAATTAGCGATTGTGTATATTCTACGTTTAGATACTGCTTTTGTTTGCCATTAAAAAAAAATATGTTTTGCTGACGATTAGAAATATTCATTTCAAAGCACAAAAAATCTAAGAGTAATTAAAAAAAATAAAAAAAAAAGTAATAAAAAAATCTCTAATGATAGAATGTCTATCCCACTATATCGCAAAAATAAAAATAAACAGTACCTCAATGCAGGGAGAGCACGTGCATTAGTTTATATCAAGTGACGCAATTAAAGAGACATTACATTGCTCAACACCCACCCACGAATCTCACTCTCATTCCAAAACTACCAAAAATAAAAATCATTGCATAGGAATGAAGGTAAACACACTTAACTTTCGATATTTTTCCCCATAACAGGCATACAGCTACATCTAGCAGCAACAAAAAATATTAATTAAATGTTCTATCTAAAAAGTCAAATGTGTGTATGCCTGCCCGGTAGAGTGAATTAAATGGCGATTCAAATATGACACACCCGGCCGTGAGGTAATGTTGACTGCTGATGCACATATGACATGCTCGTACTGAACGGGTTAAGCAGCCAAACTTTTGGGATAAACTCATGAAAGCTGTATTTACTAGATTTATATAACATATTATTCACTAACCTGGTTGGTGTAATGGTCAAGAGAGCAAGCTGTCATATCTTTGGGCCAAGGTTTGAATGCTAGGGAAAGCATAGAAGTTTGTAGTTGTCAGTCCCTCCACTTCTCATTATGGATATAATATTAATCATCCTTGTCATGCATTGTGGGCTATTTTCTCAATGATGAGATGAATAAATGACCAAAAGGTTTAGTCTTTCCAGCAAATGCATAAAAGGATGGCCAATAGAAAAAATGATAAC